TTATAAGGAATTTACTAAAGGCTACTATATAAGTAATAGTTTTATAATTAAAAAAAGTAAGGTTAATAAGAAATTTACTGCTAAGCTAATTAAAATCCTATATATAAATTAACTTTATAGCCTTTTTTTATTTTTTTTAAAGTCCTTATAGTTATTTATATTTTAAAAGGTATTTTTATACTAAAATATAGCTTATAGTATAACTATAGCTTTATTAATATAGTTTTAAATATCTAATTAATTTAAATAATATTAATAAAAAACTATTTTTATTAATTCAAAAGTTATTACCTTAAAGATTTAAAGTATTTATAGTATTAAGCTAATAAGCTAATAAATTAAAGGTACTATTTTATATATCTTTAAGGCTAGCTAAAGAGTTATAATCTAAGTTTTCCTTTTATTAGCCTTTAGCTATAGTAATTAGTTAGTTATTTAGTATAATATCTAAGTTATAAGCTAGATATATTATTTATAGTTAAGACTTATAGCTAAGAGCTTAACTTAGCGGACAGAACTTAGCCTCTAGAAGCCCTTCTACTACAGCTAAAGTTTATAAACATAAACCACGTGCAAACTTCTCGACGTGTTTAATATCCTAGGCCAATTGATGATGCCAATTCCAGGCTGACCTCTACTAGAACTTGTAGGAAAATTCGCTTCGGAATGTTCTGGCTCGGTCCGTAATCTCCACCGGCTTTTTTCCCGTCATGTTTCACCTTTCAGCCAGCCCCCGATAGCCTTGGTATTGCACTAGGAGCCCCTCTCCGGGGGAAGTTGTATAAATGCCTTGAGTTACCCGGGCGATAGAAAGGATTGTATTCACTTGTGAAGGGAAGAGAGATATGGGTTTCTCAACAGTCTCTCTTTTGACTGTAAAGTCTTTTAAAGTACGAGTGCGGCGGAGTCCTCAGATATGTGACGACCTTTACCCCTCAATTATATTTTCAGCTGGGCGTGGGTCTTGACATTCTATGCCTGGTTGGGGAGCATCACGAGAGAGGAAGTCCAGTTGTTGTAGCCAAAATCTATAAAAAGGCTGTTCCCAGGCGTGACAAGGACTATCATCAGCCCCTTAGATTTCCCCGAAATACCCACTACAGCCTCTCTGTCACTCTTTTGGGTCACTCTTTTTCAACCATGGTCCACAAGCCTACTCCCAGTCCTAGTTCTGCTAGTGAAACCTTCCATTTCGAAAATACTGATGTTCTCATTGTTGGCTCTGGCCCAATCGGGGCCACCTTCGCTCATACCCTCGTCAAAAAGGGCATTAAGGTTACCATGATCGATATTGGCCAGCAGTAGGTTCTTCTATACATGATGATATGTGCAGCTACTTACAGTGAGAAAGGGAAACTCGCCGTGTCGGCGATCATAAGAAGAACAGCGTTGCAGTTCAGAAGGATATCATTTTATTCACGAAGTAAGTCCACCCGGTCCAGCATTCTCTAATCTTCAAAGTCTAACATCGATTTCAGCACTGTTAAGGTATGTCAACCCCAGAGTTTGTGATATTTTAATTCATACCGTGTATAGGGAGAGTTACACCCACTGTCGGTGCCAACCAACTCGGCAAGGCCCGTCATGGAGCCAGCATCTTGGTCTAGCAGGTAGGGGACTTCATCTTCGCAACAGGACTTACGCTAACATTGAAAGACCTACTGATCCGGCCTATGTACTCAATGGCCAAAACCCGGAGCAGAAGGCCTATGGTAACCTTCCTGCCGCAGCCGCAACTCGTGTTGTTGGTGGTATGGGGTCTCATTGGACATGCTGCACCCCCCGACAGCGCAAAGGGATTGAACGGTCTGACCTTTTCGGCGACAGTGAGTGGAACACTCTATACAGTCGGGCTGAGAAGCTCTTCAAGAAGACCGACGACGCTTTTGATGACTCTGTTCGCCAGAGACTTGTCAAGCGCGTCTTGACAGAGGCTTAACCCGATCGTGAGATGAAGAGCATGCCGTTAGCCTGCAAACGCAAGCAAGGTAACAAAGAGTACGTTGAGTGGTCTTGCACTGCTACCATTCTTGGAGAACTATCTTCCCCAGAGTACTTTTATAAGGATGGGGAACGGCTGTTCGACATCAGGCCCAACACCCAATGCGACAGGCTCGAAGTGGATGCCCAGGGTCAGATTCAGTTCGCCGTGATTGACGACCTTGAGAACAACAAGGAGTACTACATCAAGGCCAAGAAGTACGTCATCTGCGCCGGCGCCGTGCTTACTCCGGGTATTTTGTACAAGTCTGGATTGAAGGGAAAGTTGCCTGCTCTGGTAAGATTGCTCCTCCAACACACACTGCAACCTAATCTAATAGAGGTTTCCAGGGCCACTACTTGACCGAGCAGCCTATGGCGTTTTGTCAAGTCGTTCTTGATAGAACCCTAGTCAACAGCGTCCGTGACTAACAGGACGTCAAGACTCACACTACAGACCATGAGGATGATCCACTTCCTTTCCCCTTCAACGATCCTGACCCGCAGGTTTACTTCCCACTGTCTGAGAAATATCCCTGGCACACTCAGGTTCATCGTGATGCCTTTGGCTATGGTGAGGTACTGTCGAACATCGATCAACGCCTCGTTGTCGATCTTCGCTGGTTTGGCTACATGAAACCTGATTATGACAACTGTGTCACATTCTCTAACAAGACCAAAGACCAGTTTGGAATGCCTCAGGTATGAGAAACCAAAATTCTTCATACATACCATGTTTGAGCTGACTTTCTGAAACAGCCAATCTTCAACTTCATCTTGGACGAGGAGGCGGAGGAGCGCTGCAAGCGCATGATTACAGAGTAAGGCCCTCCATCACACAAATGAACAGTATAGTCCTAACATGTGAACTCTTTTCTTTTCTTAGTATGATCGATGTTGCTAGAAAAATTGGCGGTTTCCTTCCTGGTGCTGAGCCCAAGTATCTCGCTCCTGGATCTGCTCTTCATATCTGCGGCACGTACCGCGCTGGTAGCACTTCAGCTGATAGCGTTGTCAACAAGAACGGCAAGGCTTGGGGTGTTGATGATCTCGTACTTGGAGGCTGCGGTGTCATTCCGACCCAGAACGCTTGCAACCCCACTCTCACTGCTGCTTGTTTTGCTCTTGCAGCTGCTGACAAGATCATTGTGGAGCTGCATGTCGACCAGTGATGGCTTGGTCTTAAATCGTTAATTATTTCCTTTGTTTTCTTTCTTTTGTCGAAGTTCGACCGGAAGCCGCCTCGGTTAATTTTACTCTTCTTACCTTGGGTCTTATGCCCGCATTTGCGGTCCTTAAGGTTGCTTATATAGTTAATCATGATTAGATTACTATCAACTCTCACTGGTATCATTCTGAACACACCTCACAACGCCCAACCTGGTATCATCTCCAAATAGCACACCTCACTAACACCTCAAGTCCCCACTATTGCTGAGAGCTTGTAATCGTCATGCAGAACTTAGATCACACCTGACCAGCTGGGTCTAGGCATCAACCTTGTTGATCTTGCCAGACTTGACATCGTAGATATAGCCGGTGATAGGAACATCCAGAACCAGAGGGCTCTTCTTCAGGAAAGCGATATCATCGCGAACACTCTGCTCGAGGTCTCCGAAAGGGAGGAAAGCAATGTGGTCAACATCTTCACCAAGATCCTTGCGAACCTTGGTCTTGAGATCCAAATCGGAGAAGGTGAGCATGCCACAGTCAGTCTACGACAGGTCAGTCACGCACATTACAGAAGGAGATTAAGGACAAACATGATGAACAATAACAATCTCTCGGGTTCCGAGGAGCTGCTGGGAGATAATGACAGAGCGGAGAGCATCTGCAGCTCGACCGCCAGCATTGCGGATTACGTGGGCCGAGCCAAGCTCGATGCCGAGAACCTGAGCAGGGTCGAGACGAGCATCCATGCAGGCAACGACAGCGACGTGGCTGTGATTTGTTAGCCTGTGAAAAGGGTCCAGAACTCAGATATCATACCGAGATGGAGGCAGAGCAAGGTCTCCCTTATTGAAGGCTGCGGCATACTGCTTATTCGCAGCCTCATACTCTGGGACGATTGAAGACATGTTTGAGCAAGTTAAAACAAGGCTTGATGAGGTTTGGAGTATTTTGGATTGGATATTTCAAATTGGAATCGGTGGCTTCTTTATAATACCTTTTATACTCGTTGAACACGCATGTTACACTAACGTTATATCATCGGCGCTCTTTTCCAGTTTAGGCATACGGCTCCATCATCATCCGCGGGGTATATGTCGCAATCTCACGTGTCAGGATGATGGTGTTTGACTTGGCGCGATGATGATTGATTGACATTCTCAAGTCGATTCGATGGTTATGCAAGGTGATTGTTGAGCTGTTACTTGGAGGTCCCCCAGTGTCACGGAATTGGTAAACGACACTGATTAGTGAACAATCTCTTCAGAAGTCAGGTCATGTCGGTCATGTCTCGGTATGCAGGCATTATCTATTTGTAAGAATGGTGTCTTTGGAATCATTTTAAGACAAGCATGTCACTAACATCCTTCAAAATAACTCATCACCGCTTATGCCAGGCTAACATCAACAGTGCATTCCAGCCTCCAGAATAACGTTAACTAGGCTCCCGCCGGCCCGGGCCGGGTAAACTGTCAAAACTGTCAAAGGATTCACTAAATCTGTTTAGGAATGTCATGCAAGGGTTTTTGACGTAGTCTCGTATAGAGAGCCACTGCAATAGGAAGAAGGTAGTGTGCAGTGGGTCATAAGCTTCATGGGCATCAATGGGACGTTCAACGAAGACCCCACCGGGAGAGAGCGGTTTTACAAAAGAAAGAAAAAAGAAGGTATAATTAAGATGACTATATAACCCTAAAATTACAGGCTTACGCTCGTGTACTCATAAATCTACTCTCACAAGCCCAGGCCCTTTACTTCCATCAGATATTCCTGTGCGCAGCTGCAAAACTACTCAAACTCATCTTGTCATCGTCGCCATACAGCTCATGCGACGGCTGTGGCTGCTGTTGGACAGGTTGCGGCTGTACGGGCGGAGCCTCTCTCCTCAAGCCTCGAATAAAAGCTTGATCGGACTCATCATCAATAAGAACAACCATCCAAACACCAACAGCTCCATTTGAACCTAATAAAGGCGTGCAGTGGATCCAGCGATTACGGCCTGGGCTTGCAGGAGGAGCTTGGCCACCATCGCCACTGGCAGAATGATCCATGGCACGAGAGTTACGGTTCTTGGTCTGTACTTCTGCCTTGGAGAGCCATCGGATCTTGGCGGTGAGGCCATTACCGCCCGCGAAGGCTTGTGTGAGAGTTTCGCGCACGCGATCTGAGCCACCAATGCGCGAGAGGAATGAACTCTGTAGCATGCCGGGCACGCGAAGGGACGGCGAGGCGAAGAGGATGCGGAGACTGGGGTAGGGTCGGACGAGGAGGTAGTGCTTGTAGATACCGCTGAGACGGCCGCTGAAGCTTGACATGGCTGTGTCGTGGAGGACGGGATCTGAAGGGCGTCGATTGATGGTGGCATCGTCGCGGAAGACCAGGCGCGGCTTGTTCCAATTCGCAGGAACTGTATCTGTTTGACGAACATCTTGCTGGTGTGTGCGGTGGAACGCACCACCTGCTTCGCGAACAGTCTTGAGTTCCGCGAGGTCAAACATCTCAGCCAACTCTTGGAACTCATCCTTCTGCTCATCCTTCTTTCTTTGCTCCGACTCGCCAGGGTAGCGCTCGTTCTCGGGGTTCTCGTCCGCCATAAGTGTCTCCAGTGAGTCCAAACCGGCGCATTCCCTGACGAGACCGGAGACGTCGACTTGAGCACCGAGATGGTATCGCACAACGCCGCGAGAGTCGTACAACGGGGAGACCATGAGCAAGTTCATGAAAGGGGATCCATCGCGACGGTAGTTGAGGAATGTTTCGCAGTGGTCTTGGCCGGCTGCGAGCTTGTCGCGGATTCTCTTGACGCTGAAGGGGTTCGTCTTGGGGCCTTGAAGGAAGCGGCAATTGCGGCCGAGGACATAGTCCATGCCATACTGAGTCGTACGGTGGAACTCTGCAATCAGATTAGCGTTGTCGACAACGTTATGCCGAGTTTTAACTCACCTTCACTTGCGAAAACAATAGGGTTGTCGGATCTTGAAGGGTCTGTCAAGCAGAACACCTCTGCGAGACCTTCCGACAGATCGCGTAATTGAGGTGCCAATGTGTCCGTTATCCTTCTCTTGATTGTGATGCTGACCGTCTGGATGTACGTGTGGGTAATGTACGCAGGTAGATCATGGCTCACCATGGCTTGGAAAGCCTCGGTAGCCCGCTTCGCCAATGCCTCATTGACAGTCGCTGTGACAGGATCGGCTGTGAAATCATGGCCATCAATTGTCTCGAGTGATCCCGTCAGCGAATTGGCGTAATTGATTGCCTTCATCGCCTTGAGCGTGTCGAGGTAGTACGTCAAGAGGGGGACCGAACTCGGCCGCGACGCAGACAGAAAGTTCGTGAAGCGCTGCAGAAGAACTGGATCGTCAAAGATGACAGACAGATGCTTCACTGAGAACAGCAGCTCGGATTGTGTCTCGAGGGTATACTGCTTTCCCATCGCGTGCGCCGGAACGACGAGGTCAAACGACGCGGGGTCATATTCCTCTTCGGTCAATGGCTCCAGCCCCTCACGATCCAGGCCAGCGCCTTTTGCTTGCAGCGCAGGAAGATGTGTAGGAACGTATACAGACGACATTGACGATGCATCTCTGTCTTTGTGTGACCATATTTGCGATTCCTGCGTTCGGTACGACATGGCTCGGCTCGAGGCTCTCGATGACGGTGCCTGTAAAAGCTCTGGGTCGAAGTTTGCCATTCCGTCGCCTAAATCCTGCGTCTCGAAGCTAAACCGTCAGTATCCCTCCTCGATTACTCAATTGGGGTGCAAAATACCTTTGCTTCATCGCAAGTTGTCGTCTTGGTGTTTGCGCACGCATTGGAATGGGCGGAGGTTGAGAATCTATCTCGTCGTCAACGAGGTTGAGATGTTGAGTCTGCATCTTCGAAGGGACCATGTCCTAATACTGTACAGCAACTAACTAAGGTACCTATGATGCAGTGCTGCTGGTAGCGCGAATACGTAATAAGCCACGTCTCAGATAGAAAAGCAAGAATGAGACAATGACATATTTCACTGAGTGGCTAGTATACGCCCGGACGAAGGATGTCGATTGCCTTTTGTTTCGTTTCGTTCCGTTTCGTATCGGATCCCTACCCAACTCCCCTGCCCGTACGGAGTACAATATGAGCTGTCATGTTCGAAATACGCCAATCTTAGCTTCTGGGGAACTGGTCGATGAATCTGTACTGTCCAATGGCGGTTTGGGTCCCAACGCAGGTCCCGATCGTGATGAAAGGGGAAGCTCCTCAAGATCGTGATCTGAGTGTGCTTTGGGGGACGGAAGTTAACGAGAGCTAATCTAGCGGGTTGGGCTAGTGTGTTCCTGACATGAACTCTAGTCTCTACCGACATGGTTACATTGGGCGGCGCCGTTGACATGGAAAGGATCACGATGCATAATCGCATCGCTGAGTTTAACTGGCCTCGGGGAGCACCGGACCTTGATCTAGGGTATAAACTTATCAAAGATCCCCTAAACTTAGGCTAAATTTACCTAAATATTTTTATCGCTTAGGGTCAAGGTTTTGTATTTTCCTTCCTCCCCTAGACTGGTGATCTTGAGCCAGGTACTCGTCCAAGCGGCTGGTAGCTTCACTGTGCCGCAGTTTAGATAAGGTAACTTAGCGGAATATGTCCCGTCACGACGCCATCGCGAACGAGGCGTCGCTAGTGGACGGATGACGTACGTTTATACTCGTACCTGAATCTATACTCGTACCTAAATCTGAAGTCCTATGTCTCCGTTTCTGTTCACAAAAGGAAAGCTGAAAGGAAAGCTGAAAGGAATGCCGAAGCTATCACTTCTCGGGAACTTGGCTCGCTGCAGGGCTGCAGGGTCACCAGGGTGTAACCCCAATCGGAAGAGCACGTCGATTTGGGAGTGAGACACGATATGTCATTTCCTGCAAGGTAAAGCGCCAGACGAACAGATTACCAATTCGGCAGTAGAGTGATCACCAGTGGCCGTTGAGTGTCAACGTCAATCAATGGGCATTCTAGCGACCGCCACTACCGTTGTCATTAACCATAACAAGATACGAGAGTCAAAGCGTTCCAATATCGCTAGGGAATAAACCCTCCGATGAAGATTTTGTTTCTCCTCTTGACAGGTCTGGTTATCGCGTGGCTTAATATCACACGGCGGCCCTTGCGTGTGACATAGCAAGCAAGGAGAGTGAGTGATCGCCACACGCACGTTTATCCCTTGCCGCCCGTCCTCCATCCTTGTTCTAGCTTTTCTTTTTTTTCTCACCCTTGCAGTCGATGATTGTGATGACTCAAATGATCGATGGGTCGATCACCAATAACGTCATTTGAGACCAGCAGAATTTTTTGATGAGGCCCGTATTTGTGGTTTTGGTTATCGCTGATCTGCAGTACCTAGTCTAGCTAGTTACCCAGCGCTTTGGGCGGGTAAATTACAGTGGAGGTCACTTTTCCGCATATTTCGTAGTGCGCCGGCATCTCAACATTCCGAGAACCTACAGCCAACCCCATTTGGGATATCTTCCGAGGTATTCACAGACTACAATGCGGGCACAAGAATATTCGTGAATAGCTTCAATGAATAAAATAGCAGAAAATCAACACAATATTCTATGCTTGCAGCTTCATTAGGTCTTACCCCTCATGATCACGTCGCGTCAGCATTTAGGTCGGGTCTGAAGCTTGGCCTGAACCTGGTTTAAATACAACTCTGGCGGTCATCCAGGCAGGGTCGCTTCTATGTCTGCTTACCCTTGAAACTCCTTCCGATAGCAACCAGAATGTCGGAAACGAGCCCGATCCCAATCATCCTCTGCGGAAAAACTGAATTCATCGGTGGAAGAGTGATTGAAGCTCTCAAGCCAGAGATTGAAGGTAGAAAATGGCACCAGTACGCCCCCAATACTAATACCATTACCATTCAGTCGTTCAATTCATCTTGCCTGGAGAATCGGGACAAGTCATCATACCAGCTCTCCTTGCCGATAAAAACCCACCATCTCATCCTGACAGCAGCGCTATCGGTTCCGGGAATTACAACAATGCTCCCCGCGCCGTTGTGCTAGGAGGGGCTTTTGAAGAATCCGACATAGCTACCCTGCGCGATGCCGTCAAAACCGTTAATGGAGCCCGCGGTGTGGCTTGGCTCCGTCAGGATACAACCCAGCCAGCACCTCCGGTTACATCGCCTGAGTACCCTAAGCTCATGACAAGGAGGACCAAAGAGGCGGTAATCACGCTCGATAAGGACGGGAAATTGGATGGAACATACGACGGCCTTGAGTGGTATTAGGATGCGATAATGAATGGATATGTTACAATGCTAAGACCAATGAATGCGGTATCGTGTATAAGCAAACTGAAATAGAAACAAAGGCTGAAACAAAACTGAAATCGACACTGAACTCCCAAGCGGTTCGAATCATCTTTATCACTGTGCCTCCTCCTCTTTCTTCCCCTCCTTCGTACCAGTCTGACATCGAGATCCCAAGGTCTTGACACTACTCATACTCTGACTCTTCATATTTCCTATACCCGTCTTCCAGTTCGCAACCTTGGTGTTGATATTCTTCCCAGCTCGGTCAACACTGTCGCTGATACTTCTATCAAGCTGTTTCAATTTAGTTGTAGTACCGTTCTCGAACGCCGTGCAACGATCCTTGAATCCCTTGTCGATTTGACTGGCCTTCTCTGTCATAGCCGTGGTCGAACTGTTGGTGAAGGTTGTCCAGGCCTTTTTCTTCTTGTTGACTGCTTGATTCAATTTGTTAACGTGGCGTTGGTAGTAACCCCTAGCAGCGCTGTCTTTCTTCTCTGTTGTTTCGGTGGAAGTGGTTGAGATACTCTCTCTTCGCTCATTCGTGTTGCTGTCGTATTTCTGGGCAGCCATGGACGCTTCGTTCTCTTGGTTCTGGGTTGACAGAGACTGGACCGAGCCATCTGGATGGCAGAGACCTTTGTCATCCTCGTGACTTATTTGAGGAATAACTTCTTTTCCTGGTGAATGGATACGCTGCACTTGAGCAATACCTCCGCTTGCATCGTAGATTTGCTTCTCATCATGTCCATCATGAATCCTCAAGTCGTGGACCTCCTTCTCTAGCCCATGGTCATAAACCTCCTTCTCCGCGGCGGGTATGTAGACCTCCTTCTCATCATGCCCCTCGTCTACAACATAAACTTCTTTCTCGTCAGATCCATCTGTCTTCTGTACAACTTCTTTCTCCTCAGACACCGCAGGAAGAACCTCCTTGAACGTGTCTTCCCCTCGTCGGTCAAAATTCCCAGCGGAGACGATTGGCGTAGGCGGTGTCAAGATGATCTGAACGGGATTACTATCCGACGCCGAGCTTACTTCAACTGGCGATGAGCCTCCGCCCGTGTATTTCTGGGCCCAGACATGGCGACGATGATGTCCTCGATTTGTTTATTGGGAAATTGCATCCTCAAGCAGGTTTCATCTTTACTGTGCGTCTGCCTAAACTAAATTAGGAGGGGCGTAAGCAATATCCTTGTTGATTAGGTAATGCAGATTGACGGTCTGTCATGTTGAAACAGGAATCAAATAGACTTTGTCTTCTTGTATAAGCTTCTTAAACAGTTGTGCTAACATTCACGCATTTTCGTCGTGGTGATTTCCAACGAATCATACCAAGAGCTCACACTTTCGCTAAGCTACCCTTGAACACTCCTTCCAGATTAGACTTCCACCACTAATGTTGGTTCCAGGCAGACAAAACCTTAACATAATCACACGTTGGCTATTCTTCACATTTGAGAGTTTATGGGAGCTTCCCTTGAGCAGAATAAGGCTGTATTCAAAAAGAAACTCGGCAAGGATATTAGTATTAGTACAAGGTAGAACTCCCGCTCAATCCGAACGCCAACTGTATAATTAACCCCTCGTAAATTCTCTGGTCTCCAAATATAAAGCCATTATTCGACCAGAGACATGTCCGGTGTGTCTTACTGTCTGTGGCATGTCTTCAGACGTCAGGTGATTTAAGCCATATCCTTGCGTTTCAAAAAACTTCTGGTCATCATTTGGTCCTTCATGACTGTCTTCACGAGACTGCGGAGCTCATCGATCCTGCCCTGATCACTGATGTGGCGGCCATGACTACTGCTTTCCAGAATCTTGAGGTGCTTATCGATTGCTTCGCAATACTTTTGAGTTTGTCTCATTTGCTTCTGGACAGTACTCGAGAACTGGGAGAGCATGACACGCTGGCTGTTGAGCCCTGTTCTAATCTCGCTCTGGAGTTGAATATCTGCCCAGCGTAATTCGCGATTCTCCTTGAGGAGAAAATTAGGAAGGCTGCTGTAGTTCTGATCTTCTGCTCTGACCTGTGGGTCGTCATTAGGCCACTGATCTAGCTCATTCTCTGATTCATCTGATTCTGGAACGAGTAGCGAGGGGCAGATCTGGTCATAGGCCGGTGGTGGATAGGGTGGGTAGGGTGGGCGAGAAATTGGGACGTGCTGGGGAAACAGTTGGGTGTTGATTGCATGCCCATCTGGGACAGCTCCGGACGGGCCATACCTGTTGAAAGGATGACCTGGATTCCAGGTGAGCCCAGATGGGTAGTTCAGCTCGCGTTCGGCATTTGGACCCAATTCATACGACATCGACATCCCGGAATCTAAACTGCAGAGACTTGCATCATCTGCCTCACCCCCGTCGTACGGCTGGGGCGGCCACCCGTCTGGAGAAAAGCGATCATTTACCGACATATTAGTGTGTAGACATGAGTCACAACTGCGTTTCAGCTGTAAAAGGTCAGTATTCTATAGGAGTATTGAAAATGTATAGAGGCTCTGGTGTATCAAATGTATGATAGTGAGGGGTAGGGTTGACCAACTTTTCAGTGGATAGTGGTATGCAAGGAGATTTGTCTAGGCGAAGATCTTTCTTGATGTGTTGGGCTAGCTTCATGGCTTTCTTGTGGTTGTAATAATGATAAGAAAGAAAGGGAATAGGAGAAAAGAGCCGGATGTATCGGGTATTTATAGTACCCTCCCATCTTAAAAGACTTTACATAAACTCTTCACAGGCAAGATTGTTAAGTTTTTTTTAACTTTATTTATGTCTCCTTATAAAGTATCCCGAGGGTAGCCAAGAATATGAACAATTTCAACCATCATCCTCGGCATTGACTATTTATTGTTCATTAAAGAAAGTCCTTTGTATAGAGTCGTTAGCAAAAGTGGCCTCTGTGGGTGTGAGCCAAAACTGATTTAGTCTATAGGGAAAACTTACTTTCTCTAGATACAATTCTGATGGACAGTAATCTATTCATTTTGAGAGCAAGGCCAAACCCAGACAATAGCCTCAAAGGCTCTATAGTGCATTCAGAGGCTAATAGTACTTATGCTTTTGCGTTATCAGCAATTGCTTCTTGCAATCTCTCACAGCTGTATCAGAACCTCTATTAGGGTATCGCGCCAAGATGTAGCTTTTTTTTTAACATTTCGCCCCCCCAACTCTGATTCATGTAAGATTTATCTATTCAGGAAGCCGTTGGCAAAACAGATAATATTATTTTGCTATATTTCCAAGTTTATGATTTGCTGTGCGGCACAGCTAAGCTCACATGCGACCTCCCAAGAGCATGACTCATATATACGTCCTACAAAAGAACCATGTCTGCCCCTTCGACGTCTCCGCGTGAGTAACATGATCATTTTCATTAGCCACTATCACCTTATGAGGTACCCAGAATTCGCCAACAATACATAAACATATCGAGGTATCTCTGACATCGTAATTAAAATACAAAGTATGTTGGGATAGATCCTATGAGAGATAAGACGCTCAAATCATTTGACCGTGCTTGGGCCTCACAGATTGAGTGGCAACAAACTCTGAGCTTCAACAAGAAGGCGAGGAACACATATTTACACAAAACAGCATTGCACCTCAACACCCTTGCTGCTGCCTGATCATCCCCCTCGTGGGCTGATAATAGCTAACCAGATCTAACGCCCAAGTTGTTGTCCTCATCCTTAGGGCAATCCTCATCGTCATCAGTATCAAACTCAACAACACACGCAGAGTCTTGCGCGATAGCGATGCCAATGAAGGTCGTGTCAGTCTTGCCCTCTCCTGTACCAAGACTGTTTCCATCCTGGTCCTTGACCTCGCATGACTCAGGGTCACCAGCAAACGAGGACTTGCAGCGGAACTTGCGCTCTTTGGTCCAGCAATCTCCGCCGAATGTGAACTCGCGTCCATCTCCGGTGTTGTAGCAGGGAGAGTGGTCGGCGGGATATGCCTTGCTGTAGATGGCAGTGCCGTCGTCTTTGAGGATTGTGAAACCGGAGCTGTGGCCGCTTTGACTTCCGCCGCTGGGTCCGGAGATGGTTGAGAAATCGCCTTGGGACCAAACAACGCGAAGGTGCTCGGCTGCGACCGTGGATGAAAGTGACGCAGCCAAAAGGCCGAAGAGAGTGTTACGGAGAGAAGGCATATTGATAGAAGTTGGAGAGTGGTTGTTCTGGTAGGGTTGTGAAGGCTGAATAATGTTTGTGGTTGATGAAGATACAATGAAAGATGGTCTGCCGCTTATATATACGCATTCCTTTCACTGTTCTTGATCGTTGCACTCAGTCATTTCTCAGCCAACTTCCCTTCTCATACCGCATGAATGACATCACTTCGAACGGCTCAATGTCGTATTTAGAATCCTCCGACAAGACAAACTTGCTGCCTGTTGCTATCCATAAGGAATAAGTCGGGGTTTGATCCTTTCTACCCCACGAAGAGCATCTAAGCCTCAGGAGATCAGGAAACTCAAGGCTGAGCTGACAGCAAAATATGCCGATCAACCACCAAATGCAGTGCTAATGTTCACTGAGCGTCGCAAATAGGCCAAGATGCTCGCTTATCGTTACTTCAAAAGTGGAAGCCCGCTTTGAATATCTCCACTATCTACGTAATGCTATTGTCTCCTAAGGTGACTCGGCTGGGGATTCGGGATCAGGGGACTGAGAGTTTCCGAATATTCGATTGGGTAGCAAGAGTAAGCAAGCTCAGTAGCTGAAATACTCTTTACCAATTCAAGACATAAAGCGGGAATTGGCAAGGCATAGCTGGGGCAGATCTGCATTCGAGCGGGAACATTCATATGCGAAGGATTTTAGGGCTTATTGTCATCGAGATGTCTCGACTTCGGGAACACGTGTCCGATCAAAGCTAAGAGGAATTCAATAATGACGCAAAAAGAGATTAATGCCAAATTTATGTTATAAATACGTGTTAATTGATACTCAAAGCTTATGATATCTCCACAAGTCATATCAAGCTAATACAATACACGCTGAAATTTCCCCGTTAACTTTATTCAGGTTCAAAGCAAAATGAGCAAAGAAAGATAACAACTTTTTTCTCAAGTGCGAATGAACTCTTATTAGCTGCCAGCACTTCCGCAATTTCAATTCATAGACAAGAAGTCAATCCCTAAAGTTAGACACTACCTGCCGGTCAGCGAGGCAAATAAGAAGGTGATGTTCATGGTGCTGGGGTAGAGTACAAGAACGAGCAGGCTGAAAGAGAATGGGAGTGAAAGAAACTTTTGCAATTCAAAAATATATAAAACGCTCTAAAGAAAGGGTCTGATTTTCAGTTATAGATGTTGTGCTACAAGGCCTTGTTGATGTTCCATTGCATGTAGGCCAAGTTCATCATGAAGGTAACCCCAGCGACAGGCTCTTGCAGATACGAGTATGTGAAGGCATCCGCAACGCGTTCCCGGTTACGAGGTTCGCATGGATAATTTGACTAGTTGGTCGCTGAACTGAATGTGTATAATCGGTCGAGACTTATAGAAGGCAGCGTATCAGGAGAGCTCATTTCTCCATCCACCTTTCATGGCCAGTCGCGTGGCCACCAGCACATCAGTAATCCTCAGCTCACCCTTGAGACAAATTTTCTCTAGGCTCTTTGAGTCATTTTCGATGGCAAACTTCTGGTCTGTAGGGCTGCATAATGTCTCCGACTCTAGCAGCATGTCGCCACTCTGCTTACTGATGAAGTCCGACTATCCCTGACATGGCCATTCCACTATAGTGTACTCGGTGGGTTCCACTATCAGTCTTTCGGCCTGCGATATTCCAATGGGCCTTTGTTGGCGACTGAAATTAAACAGCGCCGAGGCAAGCTATCACGCCATGAACACTTGCACCAGGGGCGATAAGCATGTCCATGGTGTCTTTGCGAGTGCAACAAGCTCGAATGTTTACATTGAGGTCATTGGAGTCGATGGCACGTCTGAAAGGATGGCAGACTAGGGTTTGTCAATATTTTTAGTAACATCTTAACCCAAATGATGTATTCGAGTTGCTGAGTGTGAATTGGCTTGAAATCTATCTCACTTTAAATCTCGAAACGAAGTCCCATTCATGTTTGCTACGTACATAGAGGAACATTTGTTTAGCCGTGAGTATTGCCGTATGATGCCTTTCCAAAGTTTGGCAATGGCTTCGGTATACAGATCTATAATGAAACCCCTAGCTGCACAGCTATCCCCTCAATCTGTTGCCGGATCTATCACAGAAACACCCTTACCAGTTACAATCGTACCAACAATCTAGCTCAACATTCAGAACTCCCCAACTGACTCATGGTCTTAAACATGGTGGCTGTATGGTTCTTAGGCATGGTCTGTGGGAGGAGATGGTGCCAGACCGCGATTGTGATATGTAGGCTGCATCTCGTGATCATCATCAATAGGGGCATAAGCTCCAGAGTGATGATTACGCTCAAGTAATCCTTTGCCTTCTGGGTCCTTTCGACTGGTGGTGGTGCTGCAGCAGAGAGTTGGTATTATCCAGAGGAGATTCGCAGCGACAGCAAGTGCAGCACCAATCCAAATGATGGCGAGGAAAACGAGGTTGATGTGTCCCTTGACACCATAGATCTTCGCAGTGGTTTCCACGGCGCCAATCGAGACGGAGGCCATGATGGTTGAGAGGATGGCTGAGGCGAGGACAAATGCGGAAGCGAGACCACTTGCCATCCATGTCCAGCAGGTCAATTCGCGAGAGCAAACAGCGAAAATACCAAGAGCAATCTCGATGGCGAGCTCTATCAAAGCCACAATGAAGGCAACTTCAGCTCCTTTCGTCATTGATCCAAAGGTTTGGACAGCAGCCTGGATCTCTTTCGGCAGTTTGACCTCGATATCCTTATCAACACTCTTGATTTGGTTTGTCAATATAGTCTTTCTGACCCAATCAAACTTGGGACTTGAGCACTCTCGCTTATCATCTTTATCAGTATGACAGTATCCCCAGAGCGTAATATCGTAGGTCTTGTCCAGCCCAAGGAGTTCGGCAGTGATATTCTTTTCGACCGTCTCGGCACGTGGCAAGATCTTGTCGACAAGTTCGCTGGCAGGACTGATACTTAGATTCTCGAAGTCCAGCTGGATGAGGTAGAGAGATTTGTCAGTGATGCCTGCGAGTGCAGGCACGAGGGTGAAGATGGCAGCCGCGATTGCGAGTGCGAATGGTAGAAGTACGCCAATAACGCGGCCAATAATCATCTTGTGAAGTTCTGGAGGTTGTTTGTGTACAGTATTTCTTTATTGTGTTTGGAAGCGAGTGGCACAAAGAGGAGGACTGGTTTGCAAACGAAGATGTCAGTACTGTTGACTGGTAACAGCCCGGAATGGATGTTTTATACAGATTTAGTCGTGGCGATCCCATGAACCAAGTTAGAGCCCGCTTAGCTCTCACCAAAAGCACGGTGCCGGACTTCGAGCAGCCCCGACAAAGAATCCCTGCGATGTCAGAGACTCAGCCTCTCACTTCGTCTCATCGCTGGGAAAACTTTTACCCTCGATCGAGCGCTATGCTTTAATTTTTGCAATCCCCTGGCCACATGGAGTTCCCGTGGTAGTATTGCTGTTGTCAAATGTGGTTGAGGCAGCTGGTGTCTTTCCTTGTTCTAATTTTGGAGTGGCTGGGACCTGATTACTGAGCATTCCGAAGACGCGCTGACTCTTGCGGGCCGCATCTATACAGGTTTTATTGTACTTGTGTGCTCCACAGAGCTACTATTCGGTGCTTTATTCCTTGTCTAGTCTCTTTAAGTTGATGAATTGGTACTTGTGCCGCTGATATCGCCCCGATGCCGCCTTTCAGGGGCAAACAGATGTTGGGTTACCGATGGCTCCCTCAATTGTCCCCCAGAGGGCAAACCAAGGCACGGTGCACTGCCTTCCAGGTTGTCCGATCTGGGTAACATGGACTATTTATGCGATGATAGAAATCCGACCAAGGCCGAAGAGTGCTGCGATGCTGTACTTCCGAGACAATGGCATCTGAGTGTGGCGATCAATCGTAGAGGAAACAACATGGCTGAGACCTAGTTAGCATTGAATGACAGGCCATCGATGTGCACTTACTCAACAGGTCTGTGAGAACATCAGTCGCGTATCCAAACTGCATGCTAATCGCGGCTGCTCTCACATAATGAGGTGTCGTCACTACACTTGCCAACAGCGAACCAGACCTCCATACTAGAGCAGGCAAGGAAGAGAGTGACTATACTGCCGATAAGTGTCTGCAAAGAAATAGAGATTAATTCGTCAATCACTTGGCACTCCGACGAATCCACTTAGCAAGATACAAAATCCTAACGAAGCATACCATAGCTTTGTATGAAAAGGCAGCTGGACTAGTAGTTTCTTATATATCCAGAGCAACGAGAACTTTGCTGACCAAAGGCATAACCAGAGACACACCGACACGTTGAAGAGTCCCTTCTGTATTAATGGCGCGGCATCGTTGGCTGTCGCGTGAGGCACAATAATCCCTTCTCCGAGATCCGTCAATCGAAAGAATGCGGGAATAATGTAAAGGCAAAGGATCGCGAGAACGAGAAAGAAGACGTAATAGGAAGCCAACCACGCATCTTCAACTCGAATACTTTTAGAGTGGATGATCACAAGGAAGTCGAAAGGCGATGGCCAATTGAAGCAACAACGATCAAGGCGATCCCTGTATCTCGAATCGAAGGCATGGAAACTTGTGTTTTCACCATGGTGATTACCAGAGAGAAGTGAGGGTATACATGCTTGGAAGCAGACTGGAGCTGAATGAGCAAAGAGATGAACTGCCTGATCACAGAGGGAAGAGGGCAGCTGAGCTTCTTCCAGTGCAGCAACCAACAGCCACATTGGCACACTGCTTACAGGATCAATTTTCCTACCAATTACATGCCCGGAGTATTTTCGTGTTGGCGTCAAGGACCGGGATACGGGATGAAGAGTTGGTGACGAGCTTGGCAGATGGATCGAGCTCCCTGAGAATTAAAGTTCGATAGACCGGGTAGCGGAGCATCCAAGAATGAGAATTATGATCTGATTTGTCGGAGGCTTCCCCGTCCGTGTGGACATGCATGCAGGACAAGGTAGTACAGTCACATCCCGCTGAGTCTTCGATAGTCGAGACGCGTGATGAACTTGGTAGGAATGTGACTTGAATTCTATTCATCCCACCTTCGTACTTGATAGTTATGACATGCGAAGCAACAAAGGTGCTTTACTGATTGCCCTTGCCAAGATTCCGCAAGAGTTATGGGCTGTTTTTTGCATGATACCCTTGACAATCCCAGGACCAACAGCATCTACGCCACTTGGCTGCATCTAAGCCATTCCGTTGCACAAGATGCAAGTGACCAACACACTTCATTGTAAATAAAGATAGTTTTCATTGCGTTCTCACCAGAGAGTGGGGGCTATGCATACTTATGCGTCCCCTTCCACGAATCAATTTGTTCACATGAACAATCCACAACCCTTCGCCAACCCAGGTACTGACCTGGAAATGCCTCAATGTGATACAAAACCAATAAATCTTTCCTCAAATTCCTCCTTTCTTACCTCCCAATTTGCCATCGCTCGCCAGTTTGAGTCATCATGCGGTGTACTTCACTAGTTATTGCAGCTTTCTTGGTTGTTAAATCAACCGCCTTCGATTCTCTGCTTGAGACCAAGGACTTTAACATCACTCAAGCCCTTCTTGACCAAGGTGTTGATGTGTCAGAGCTTCCTGTATCCGCGGACGATGCAAAACGATCTGGCACTGGCTGCGCCGCTGCTGTATGTAAACCAGACTCTCATAACCTTCATGTGGCTGAAGCAAAATAGTGCGCCTCTCTGAAGATACTCTACGGTGATGCCGCCGTTGAGACGAGAGAAGAAAAGGCCTTCAGGGACTTCACAGGCTCGTACTGGTCCTCAAACCAGGCCGAGGTCAATCCTTACTGTATCTTCATTCCTCAGCGGCCGAATCATGTTTCTGTAACTGTACTGTTGGCTCGATTGGCACAGTGTCCTTTCGCTGCAAAGAGTGGCGGCCACGCAGCCTTCGCTGGAGCTTCATCAGTTGAGGGTGGCATCACCATTTCGTTTGCTAGCTTAAAAGGTGTCTCTCTGTCTAAAGATAAGAATATTGCTTCGATAGAGCCTGGAAACACCTGGGGGCCTGTGTACGAGCAGTTGGCGAAGTCTGATGTCAGTGTCATTGGAGGCCGACTCTATAACATCGGCGTTGGAGGATTGACCACGGGAGGTAAATACAACTACTTCTCTGAAATAACTTGTAACTAACTTGGCGAAGGTGGCATCTCATTCTTTTCAAATATTTATGGTTGGGCTTGCGATAATGTTGAGAGCTACGAGGTAACCATCCCAGCCCAGTCAGTTGCCACTAGTCCTCCAAGCTAACCAATCTACAAGGTGGTACTCGCCAATGGCATAATAGTCAAAGCCACCGCCAACTCATACCCTGATCTCTACTGGGCTCTTCGTGGCGGCGGTAACAACTTCGGTCTTGTTGTCAAGTTCAACCTCAAGACCATACCCCTTCCCAAGAGCGAGATATGGGGTGGATCTCGCGTCTATACGGAAGACAGGTTTTCCGAAGTCACAAACGCACTGTTCAATGTCCTAAAGAACTCCGAGAATGACCCAAAGGCTGGGATTTACGTCCCTTGGATCTATTATCAAGGCAACAAACTATCTATGCCCACTATGTACTACGCCGAGCCTGACGCCGGAAATGCTACTATATGGAAGGACTTCAACAGGATCGAGGCCGTCTCTGATACCACGCAAAACAGAGTTCTCGCTGCGTGGGGGAATGAGATCATGAATGACAGCCCTCCGGGACTTCGTGAGGTCTACTACGTTATTACCACCAAGCTCGATCACGGCATCTTGGAATACACGAGGGATTACTTCTACAAGACTGTCCTTACAGTTGCTAATGTTCCTGGCATTATACCTGCTTTTGTGGTTCAAGGCATCACTACTCCCCAGCTCAAGCAGATGCAGAAGAATGGAGGCAACGCCCTTGGTATCGATCCTGAGGGTGGACCTCTATTAATTTTGCAGCTTTCTGTTATGTGGAATAATAAGTCTGACGACGACGCCATCTACAGCTGGATTTCCGATATCTTCCAGGTAGTTACCAAGGAGGCCAAAGCTCGTGGAGTCAACAACGACTACGTTTACATGAACTACGCAAGTCAGTACCAGGATGTCATTGCAAGCTACGGATCAGGCAATAAGGCTAAGCTGAAGACCATTGCGAAGAAGTATGATCCTCAACAAGTGTTTCAGCATCTGCAGCCTGGATACTTCAAGCTGGATAGAGCACCTATTCCTAACTCTGGATATTTCTCCCATTAGAAGAGGATAGGCCTACAGAGAAGCCTTGAAGAGGCAGGGTCGTCAAAGACGATAGGGTGAAAGCGCTGCCTACCTTAGCTGAGAAGAGAAAAGCAGAACTTAGCTCTAGTTTAGGATATAGTAAATCTCATCACAAGCCTTGACTCATACTCCTCCAAGCTTTTCCTAAGCTAATGACGACTTGTGAAAAGTGCTAGGACAAATTGAAGCCCGCGCCCAACATGAGCCCAAATCGTATGTGGATGGTCACCGTATCATCAACTGGAAGCTTCTCAACCCCCAAGGTCTCTGTTATGGGATCTCAGCCAGCCTGCCTATGCGATAAATCCTGCAATATCTCACTAGGGTCAGGCCCAGTAAACATAGTTCCTCCAGTTGCGCCTGGGACCTAGATGACGTCTTCCCCTCCACAGACTTGTAGAGTTGATCAATCATCTCAGCTCCTCCTGGGAGAGATACTAAGGCGCTCTTGCGCCATATATTCCATAAGGTCTGACGAATGAACGATTAAGATGAAGTAGAAGTGATGAGCGCGTTTAATTGCTGCGGAATGAAGGTGGTACACGGGAAGACCAAGGGGTTTTGATGTCGTCAAGCATGCAGCCTCTCTGCGCGGAGATCTCAGCGACTGTTCCCACAGGCCATTTCGCCTGTGTACCTGGTAATGAAGCTCGCAATATGGGCACTGTATGGTCAGAAGGAAAGATATGAAAGCTTCAAGCCATGGTTCGGATAAGACGCCTGATTTTGCCCTCGTCCACGATTCAACTTCTGCTTACGAGGTCGGACGTTACGATCAAGATTCTAATCCAGTAAGACGAATTCAAATGTGCTATGTGCGTATG